TCATTATAGCTGTTTCAATCTAAGTTTTTTTCACTTGAATTATCTATCTTTCATCTTGTTCTCTTTCTTGCCCAAGGAAGAGTTTGGAGTTTCAAAATCTCCATCACCAAATCAGCCTGTTGAACCAACTGAAGAAAAAGCCAATACTGTCATTGTTGCTGTATACATGCCTAATTTATATCCTCAGTTCATCAGTTAAGATTATAAAATGGGTTATGAAGATGAATAGACCAAACACATTCTTGCTATGAGAAAATTTTCCAGCATATTTCAAGATTTCAACAAGTCTTGGTCTTGAATATCAAGCTGCCTGCATTTGGCCATAAGTTTAATTTTTTCCCCTAACTCTGCTGAGGCACTCATAAGTTGCTCTCCTTATATGGGAGAGAAAAAAAATTGTAATAGATACGTACCTACTTAATTTCATTTTTGTTTGTTTTGTCAAAATAACTAGTCAAGTGTCAAAGAAGCTACAATATATACCTAAAATATGACTTCATACAAAGAATAGGTGAGTGTATAAAGTCTTACAAAGGTACCTAAATCAGTAATAATTTTCCTCTCCTCCTGCCTTTCAGAGGAGATGCATTACTGTTAAGCTTCACTGAGATTTATCCTTATTATTGTATTTCTAGCATCCCTTCTGTCTGGCTGGTCAGTACAATTGTAACATTTGAAATAGCCCATGCGCTGAAATTATTACCAGACAGTCTTCACGAGCCCCAGAAGATGCAATCACTCCAATGAGCAATCACAGTATCCACTCGTCTCGTATGCCCCAGTCCCTAGCAGCTGAAGACCTGCATACCATCTTCATCACTGAGGCCAACAGACACACCCTCCTCTACCTCCTCATCAAGCTGAAGGCTTCCAAAGGAGTACTTATTTCTAGGCATGGGAGAGGAATTCAGCACAATGGGATTTCCAAACACCAGGGGGTGAGTGAAGGGGTTAATGATTTCCGAGTCGGAATCGCTAGATTCTGTCCCACTGCTCGTGGAGACCTCCATCATCTGGATTGCAGCTGTGTGATCCATCATGCCACTGGCATGCAGCGACTGCATGACTGGGCTCTGCTTTGACTGTGCCCCAGCTGGCATACCATTGGCCATCATTTTGCCTTCTGGAGAAGACATCTTAGCCACCCCATCTCCTTTACAATATCTCCCTGATCTATACTCCTGCCCAGGGGTTGAGGATATCTGGCTCAGGATAAATGGATCTGTAACTGATTTATTGCAGACATTTTGGATTTTCTGTGCATGAGGCCATTGAGAACCTGGAGAGTATCTGCCATACCCGTGGCAGCTACTGGCACGGCTATCCTCCTCCCCAGTCCTCACCCCGCAGTCATGTCCATTTTCTGAGACATAACCCTGAGAGCCAGTTCTACTCAGGCTCATGTTAGGGCTTGACCCTTTGCTACTGGGAGGCAATGGAGTGGCCAGTGGACTACGGCTCCCTGGCCCTCTAAACATTTCGTCAACCAGTGAGCTGTGCCTTGGCATCCTGGGGCTTCCCCCAGTGTAGAAGGAGAGATTAGCTGGGTTATCATCAAGGTACTCTTCAGAGAGATACTGGGAAGACTTTATAGAGGCTGAGGAATCCCTGTAACTAGTTCTATTGCGATTTTCATCTTTATAGTGAATATAGGCACCACTGGTCAAATCACCCTCATAATTGTCATTTGTTTGGGAATATGACCGGGTTATTTGTCCTCTGAGGAGATCATACTCGCTATCTACATCACTGCAGTCAATGAAAGGAATGGAGGTGCTGCTGCCATGAGCAGCCCTGGAAGCTGGACCTGTGCTTGGTTGCTGTGACTGAGGTCTGTTCTGCTGCATCCTGTCCTTAGCAGCCTCCTCTTCTTCCTCCACTGTTGACACCACTGCTCCATCCACCTTTCTGCCTTCCTTTGGGCTCTTCTTCAAGGAAGGGCTCTTGTGCTGTCCAGTGTCTTCTGTTGAAGCCTTCAATTCCTTCCCTTGCCGGCAGCTCTGCACTGCTGCAGCATCATTGTCGTCTCCATATGCAAAGCTAGAGCTCTGGAAAGATAAAGGAGGGAAGGCAAGGGGGAGACAAAGGGGGAGGGAGGGGTGGGAGTGGAGAGGTTTGGGAGGGAAGGGAACCAGAGGGAAAAGGCTGTGTTTAATTATGCACCAGAATTTTGCACTGCATCTTGCAGCATCATAGGAGTCTCTTGAAAGTGGAAGAGGTAATCCAAGCTTCAAAATTAATTAGAAGGGAAAAAAAAAGAGGTCTCTGATCTTAAGGACAGAAAAAATACATAAACTAAGCAAGGGAAGAGAAGGCAGACAGAACGTGGTGATATGTAAAAAGGGGTATTTGAGATGTTTCAATGCCCTAAGGCATCCATGAACACTAAGAACATCACCCTGTTTGCACTACTCTGAGAAGCTGGAGGGACAAAAAAGAGAAACATGTAAGACAAATTTTGCACAGCCTACTTACATACACTAAAAAAGCCATGTGTGGGCTTTTGAATACCCCACATTCAATCCCTGGAGCATACCTGCCACTAATTCCTGGGCTAGCTTTTCTACGCACAGAAATATGTCGCATCTGCCCAATAGCCATGCTCCATCTATCTGAGCTTGTCTTAGAAATATTAAAATGCTAAAAGATATTGGAAATGGGCTGCATTTATAGCAGAATTCTCTGAAGTTCTTAGATTTGCAGGAGTGAGAGAGCCTGTGAGTATCAAAGGGAAGAAATGCAAGGAAGGTGAAGGTGTGTGTAGCATTCTTAAATACACTAACCTAGTAGCTTGCTCCTGCCATTTAAGCTCTACTGAATTTAAGGTCAGGTGATTAAAGGTTCACCTCCACAAACACAGATGAGCACAGAGAAACACTGGCAGGTGGAGCAACCCCAACAACATAGTCAGGGAAATGGAGCTCCCTGACCCTGATTCTCTGGGGGCTATCCCAGCAGAGCCGTCAGCCATGGTCTGGGAGTGTCTGGGATGCCAGCAACTGGAAAGACCAGAGCATGTGCATAGTGATTGGGCGGGTAGGTCAATGCGCAATTGCTAGCAAACTTTAAGTTGGAGTAGTTGGTGAGTAGGATAAGAGAGTTGGGAGCCAAGTACAGGTGTAAGTACAGTGTAAGTCAGGCCAGACACTGGAAAGACCATGGGGCCTGGGGGTCAATTACTGGTAATGTCATAAGTCTGGACCAGCTATTGGAAAGACACCTTTGGTGTGCATGTGTCTGTGCATGAGGTAACTGGGAACCAGGGTACCCAGCTGTCAGTTACTGGGTAGACTGGGTGTCTAAGATGAATTACTGGAGGAACCCAGTGTGTGTGTGTGCGTGTGCGTGTGTTTTCAGGTCTGAGTACTGACAATGGGAGTGGGGCTGTGAGCCTTGGGGGCTTGTATGTCTACGTACACGTACCAGCCACTGGGAGGGAGACCTGAGGATCCAGGGGCCTGCTACTGGAGAGACTGAGTGTCTAAGACCAGTTGCAGGAGGGATCCCTATCGTATATAGGTACACATATTTTCCACTAATGAACTCTGACACTGATCAGCCAAAGAGTGGAACAGGCTGAGGCCACTGGCACTGTTTGTGCTTGTGGGAGTCCTGTTTTCTGTTTGTGTTTACCTGTGCGGCTGCCTGTATGTATATGTGTGTATATATATTGTGTATGTGCATTTATGCAGGTGCCTACTGTGAATACATGCTCAGCCTTACTACTAGCTGGACCTGGGAACATGCAGCTGCTGCAACCTTCCCACAACTGGGCTATTGGATTTGCAAAGTCCTAATGCATAACAGCTATTAACATAAGACAAATACATCAGGTAACTATTGGAGATAATAGCTTAAAAGTCCAGAGCTGTAATTTTTCTGAGGAGATAATTATTCTCCTCCCTGGTAAATACAACAAAACACCTTGTCATGAGCAACCAAGACTCCCCAGAGAAGGAAAAGAATTAAACTTTTCCCAGATGCAATAACCAGCTACAACCTAGGACCCCAGCAGTAACACCGTGGATTGCAATTTTTCAGATGGTCATCAGTACAGCTCAGACAAGCTCACTATTTATATTTGTCTGGTTGTCCGGAAGCAACTCTGCTCCACAGTGGAAATGAACCTGTTCCACTTGCAGAACCTAAAACTTATGACACCTAGGGCTCCTGGTTAAATGGAAAGTGAGCAGAAAACTATGCTCATAGAGTTTCAAAACAGCAATCAGTGGAGGGTAATGTAACAAGAACTGTTTAAAAGGCATGATCCAGGGTTTCATCAACACCACTGACTTGTTTTGGCACCTCTGTATGCTGTTCTGAAGGCTGTGCAGTCAGACTCCTGATGGAATGAATCTTGCTGTGTTTCCTGGAGATAAAAGAAAAATCACAGTAAGAAGCCAGTTCAGTTTTTTCTACAAATAGGAATCAAGAGACATGTCTCCCTCAAAACAAAACCTTTGAATAGCAGCTTTCATAAAAGTTTGCTCCAAAACATGTAAACATTCCTCCTTTCTGTAAAATGTAAATGTGCTATGTGTTGCAAACATACCATTTTAAGAAAAGGGAGAGGTACTGAAGCACAAATGGTCTATCACCAGAACATGAGTCATAAGCAATGAACTGCTGTCATGGTCTTTGTGGCATTCTGGCCATTGCTTTCAGCTCACCACGAGCAAGCTGAGATCAGACAGAACTGGCTCTAGCAAGTTGGAAGCCTTCCCTGGAGACCTCTCCCTTGAGATTGGCTATACCTATTCCTATTACTTTCAGTTTTATTCTGAGGTGAGTATGTTTGTTCACATACATTAACCACATCCCACCGAAAAGGGTGCAAATCAATATGGAAGTTACCTGTGATGGTAGGATGCTCACTGATGAAAAAAAGATTGAAGGCTATTGATTTTAAGTAAACTATAGGATATGTCAACTTCTGCCAAAATGTCCAGGATGAAGGGGATATTATACAAGTGATAAACTGTCAAACCAAAGAAGGAATTTTTCACTTGAACTGGTGCCAAGATCTTAGAATATAACTAACTGGAACTCATGACTTTTCTTTTAAAACATATTGGGATAGCTCATTTATTTCCTCTCACCTTTCAAACTGCACTTTTTTGTGCCCTCCTTCTTTAACGTAGTCAAGAACTTGCTTCTGAGTCCGACCACTGGAAGAAAACCACAGTTAAGATATCAGTCTGAGATACTGAATTTGCCACATTTAATACAATATACTACCTGGTTGTCATAAGCATGCATATGGCCTGCGTATGAAGTTACAGCAACCAGAAAAGTATATGTCACTATCAGCAGAAACTCATGTAAGATCATAAGTGGATCATAAGTGGTCAAATACACACAGATTTTTATCATTTTGCCTGTTACTTACCTCTTTTTTTGCTATGGAGCTACTTTTTGATGCCATTTCAGAACTGCTTAAACTCAGTTGTGTGCCCTTTATAGGGTACTACATTACTGGGAAGTCACCATAATAGAAAATTAAGCAAGTTAAGTTTTTCTCTCATGAACAAAGAACATTCCTGAATCCTTTTGAGAGTCAAATACCAGCCTTACCTGGTATCAGTAAAACCTGGAGCCAAGACGAAAACCACTGAAATGTATTTCTTGATTCAGTTGCTAATATGAAACACACCAACTAAACATACATACATTTTCTGCAGAGATTTAGGCTGGAAATCACTCTCTCCCCTTCTGCTACAGGCCATGAAAAAGTAGCGAGAAAGCCCAGCACTTCCTATTGTGCAAAGATATAAACTCCAAAGGGAACTGAAAGCAGTAAAGGAAACCCACACCTCAAGAATGTTCAATAGAGATCAAAATCTTTCCCTTTCATTACAGGCTTTAAACTAACTGAATTACCACAAGGCCTGGAAAAACTTATTGAACGTATGCAGCACAGCTCACAGCGAGTGGAGGATGTAACCAAAACCTGCTCTCCAAACCAAGAGGTAAGTTGAATGCACCTACAGTCTTCTACTTACTCAGGCAGAAACTTAACAATTATAGCTTGTTTGCCCTAACACAGGTCCTTCCATCTTAATTTACTTTGTAGGCAGGAAACAAAGTGGGAAGAGAGAATGGCCATATCTACTATGTTCCTGTGCAAGGCAACTAGAGTGTACAGTTTATCTCTGCAAAGAGGGTTTCTGACTGTTCAGCTTATATCAGCTTCGCAAACAAAATAAACTGCATGAATAAAAGGATTTCCCCCCCAGCATACACAGTACAGTATCTACAATTAGGCTTCTGCCAGTGTAAGAGAAAAACCAATAACCCAACTACTAAAAACTTTTCTACAGCTCTAAAAATATCGCAGGTAGACTTGGTCTTAGCATAGGTAGCCATCTCACATAAACCCTTTGCAAGCATAAAGGTCTCAGCATTAGAAGACATTGTTTTTAACTACATAGAGATGGATCTCTACTTTGATACATAGGAAAGATCCCATCCTAGAAGCAGAGGATCCAAAGAGTGCCAAAAAGTTGCTAGCTAGTGTTGCTTAGCACACAGGTGGATTTTCTCATGTGAAACCAGCTGGAACCTCTACACTTCATATCTTACCTCCAGAAAGCTACTTTGCAACAGCTACTACAAAATGAATGCAGGCTTCTTCCCTACAGTGTTCGTTGCATTGTTCTGGCTGGGAAGATGCAATGGAAAATATAAAGGAGCAAACTACAATGTAAAAAAGAGGAGCTGAAAATAATAGGTTTAACCCTAGACCATTATGGATGTGATTTTGAAATGGGGAGGCAACAAAGCAGGAAAGAAGAATGCACGTCTTACCTGAACCTAAATGATGAACCTCTAGAAAAAAGAACGGGTTTAGGCTTTGGTTTAGGTTCCTCAAAAAGCCTGAAAAAGGCATGATGCTCCACACAGATCTTCCAGAAAGACTTGCAAAAATCTCGACTGGCCATAAGGAATTCCAGGGTGTCCTGGAACGAACTCTGAAAATTGAGATAGCATTTGCAATGTAAGCAAGCAAGCAACACGCATTACAGAGATGCATTGACAAAGCAGGTGCTATGCTACAAAAAAAAAAAAAAAAGCTTTTTCCCAGCTCATTGGCTTTCAGGCTTAACAGACCCTATGCTTCCCACTTTGAGACATCACTGATCTGCCTGGCAGTATCAGAGCTATTGCTCAAACTTCCTTTCATTGACAAATACGACAGAGATAAAGCAGTGGTCTTAACATTAACAACAAGAGGTGGTTTACATGCTATAATTTAAGAACTGATGATATAGTACCAGAGTCACAGCCGGAAGATGACTCCGTGACATTCAGTTTACATCTCCTTTGCTGGGACTACCCACCTGAGATGCCAGGTTGATGTGTGCAGTACTAACAGTAAAAAAAAAAAAAAAAAAAAAAAATCTTCTTGAGGTGATAAAAACATGTTTGATCTGTGCGTAGAAATTTACCAGATAACTTTTTGTCAACTTCATCAATTCCTGACAAGGACTTACGTTCACATCAGGGCGTAGTTTGATAAGAAAACGTTTCCTCTTGAAGCTCAGCTTTCGAACCTTAGCCCAGTTGAAGGCATTGATCTTGGTGTGACCCTACAAAGAACAAAGCCAGCAGAATTTAAGCATTCCAGATCTGAATAGAGAAATCTAAACCACTAAAAAAAGCTTGTCATAAATTAATCATCTATTCACTTCACTTGAAATTATAATATTTCTTATCATTCATCCTCTGATAAGGCAAACCATAGCAGCTGGTGCTGTGACTGAAGGCAGGTACTTATGCTTAAACTCTTGCATATTTATAAGACTAGGTATACTGAGTTGATGTGAAAGTATCTGACCCAGTATCACTGCACAAAACAGGGTGGCCCAGCTTTTGGCCAGATGACATTATCTTGTTCGACTAGGCAGACTCTGATTTTCAGTGGGCTAAGTCACCTTCCAGAGGTGCCTCCTTCTCTTTCTACCAGCTACAGAGAATGCAGGGAATCTGGACACCTAACATGGTCACCTCACTTTGATGGGGTAGATTTCTTTCCTCCTTGTCTGTCTATAGGGCAAAATAAACACCACTTTAAATATCACTTAACTGGGGGAAAAAAACCCCAGCAACTGAAAATTTTGTATTGGAAGTGCAAAATACTGTGAGTATTTTGACCTTTCATAGGGGAGCAACAGAAGTAAAAGGAACCTAAATAAATCACTTGTCTCTGGAAAGTCATGAAATGCCTTTCCCCCCCAAAACCAGAAGCAAACAGGAAGCCTGAGAGCAATTACCTTCAAAATACTACAGTTCCCAGCCACTGCATCATTAGCCCCTACTCCCCAGAAGTCTTGTTCTTAATCTATGTTAGAAGACATTGGAGGTATTATTTTAAAATATTCATTACAGTAGTTTGTTCAGTAAAGACTTCAATACAAACATGCCTACAGCACAGCACAGAAGTTTCAGAGAGCTACTACAGGATTGCTAAATTCAGAAACCCATGTTGATTTGGGTGCCGTCACCAGACGGATGTAGGAGTAATGACAGTGTGATGATCTCTGCTAAGTCAACCTGCTGTCTAAGAATCACATAATTAATCTCCCTTAGAATATTCAGCAGCACTAATTTCTAAATAAATGGCAGGCTTTAAAATAAGTCTTTTTGAGGACTGCTTATGCCATTTGTGAGTGAACCTTTATTTTCCTTGAGGTCATTCTAATGAGGTCTTCATATTGCAATTTCTCTCAGTTATATCCAAAATAAAAAGATCAACTTAAGGCTCTTGGCTTATGAAATGCCTGAAGGAAGCCCTAAGCCTACTGCCAGACACCAGTTGCTGGGCAGACTCCAGCAGGTCAGAGCCTGACTTCCTTTTCAGCATTCAGTCTTAGAGCTTGATCCAGCAAAATTTCCAAGTTTTTCTGAAAATTCCAAAAAAACCTGTTTTGAAAGTCCCAAACGCATTAGGACAAGAAGAGATGACTGAGTTTTAGAGCTTTACAAATCAGGCCTTGGGCCCTCAACCAGCAGATATATCTTTACGTAAGGATCCCAGCAGTCTGCTGGGACTTGGTGAGGCCCATGCTGTTTTGTGTGGACACATACTTTCAGCTGTAAGACAGTCTTAATTTATAAGGCTTTGCAATTTATTAATTTAGCTGACAAAAATACTGTGTGGGAACAGGGGAAGGGCCTGAACATACAATTATTTGAGTTACATGTATTTCTAACAACATCCTGGTGTTCCCATGCCTCAAGCTATGCTTGGCTTTTGGGGTTTTACTAGCAACCCATTCGGTTGAGCAGGGCTTTTTTTTTGTTTTGTTTTGTTTTGTTTTTTTAAATTTAGATCTCAGAACATTTGGGTCACACATATTTTTGGGTTTGTTTGTTGCTGTTGTTTATAAAAGGACACAAAGTACTTTATAAGGTTGGAAACACTAGTATTTTAACTGAAGTCAAACAGTTAAAATGAACAGTCTTTTTTGACATTCTAAAGAACAGTTTACTTACTGTTTTTAACACACAGTGAAGTAAGTAGCATTTTGGATGCTAGCAGACATAAGTTCATCTGAAGTGAAAGCAGCTTACACCAGCTGACTATCTGTACCTTCACAACTGTAAAAGCCCAATTTGTTATTTACCTAAGGGGAACTGCAGAACAAGAATTTGATAAATTTACTAATGGTGCTTCACAAACATTTACTAGGCTGACTGGAGGAGGACAGGAGAGGAAAGAAATGTAAGGAAAATACTTTGCATCTTTTAGGGCAAGAAGTAAGATTCATGGATTCAGCAAAGGTACAATGGCCAAGGCTGGTCAAGAAAATCATAAAAACTGACAAAGTAACACTACAGACGGCTTACATTCACTTCCTACATCCTTCTCCATGTACTCCAGTTGTCCATTGTTTTATTTGTCCCTGCTTCACACCCATTTTTATGCACCATGCCTGCAAGACCTACCTGCTCCTATATGTAGGAGGTGTCAGCATGACCAACTTGCAAAGTGTGAGCTGTGGATCAGTTTGCATCTTGAACAGCACATTGTGGCTGCAGATGGAGTTCTACCCTGTGCATGCAAACAAGGTAAGAGTCCCTGGAAGTGAAGGACCTAATGCAGCTATAAAAGGTTTAAGGTCATTGTTAGAAAAAAATTTGGAAGTTCCTGAATTTTCCCAACCAAATTCTTTTAGACATGGTTGAGGTCCTGAACTGTTATCGCTGTAGGAAATCTCTCTGCTTTATAAAGTACAAAGTCATGTCCTGAGCAGCTCTAACCTGAAACACCAGAATGCCTGTGTTGGCAACAGCCAGGTTGATTTTTGTCCCTTCCCTGTCCTTGGCTGGATGCAAGCGTATTCCATACATCTCCAACCGACGGGCAATCTCCAAAAGCTGGAAGTCAGATTCTGCTGGTGTCTGTCCCCTTGAGAAAGAAAAGAAAGAAAACATTCAAATTCTTCACACCTTTTAACAGAGATCAACAGGTCCTCCAGAGAACAGAGACACATTTCATCAAAGAGACTAAAACCTGTCAGAGGTATAATATCTGTATGGTTTTTCTATGTCCCCAGATTTACATCAGCTAGAACAACAACTTCATCTTAGTCTAAACCAATACCAAAGAATCCACAAATTTTACAGTCTATTAGAAACTTTGATCACTCCAGTTCTGAGACACCTGATACAGCTAGATTTTTGAACCATTAACTTCAACAGAATTCACTACCTCTCTTTGTATTTTCCATTGGAAAAACATGCTATATTCTTAAAAAGAAAAATCATGAACAGAAGTGCATAAGGATGTCGTTCATTGCAAAAGTGAATGTAATACCAAAATGAAGTAAAACAGAGGACATGAAAACATTAACATAAATGTTGAGAACCCATAAGCACTACATTAATCATGATGGAATTATGCAAAAGTTTTGATTATTACTGCTGTAGAACTCCCTGCCACTCATATGTAATTCAACGTAGCTCAAAATGAAATTGTTCAAGTCTTGAAGTGTTCTCAACATTAAAAAAACACTTTTCCATGCCTTATTTGCAACTCTTTCAACCATCTTCTTACTACTAGTCTTTTCTCCAGGCCTTAGGATACCAATTTGCATGATCATCTTCAATCCTATTCCCCAAATCCCTAATTCTGCAAGCACTTTGTGCTTTTCCTAAAACTATCATTAGACCTCTTCTTCACCCATCTCTAAATACAGCATGGGAAGGTGAAAAAGCAACATTCAATGTCCTTGAAATCAAAAAGACTGCTGTCAGAAGTGCCTGACTAATCAGTCATCATTTGCAATCATACCTGCATGCACAAAATCAGCAGTGAAGCATTTTGTATGAAATAGACTGTAAAATAATGGCATGCTTGAATGAATATCAAAATCAATTGCTCTTTAAACATCTTGTTATGATGTCAGGAGAAAGGCAGGAGTAACCTTCAGGACGTTGAACGTTTTTTGAGAAGTAACCTTTGAGAAACTCAGAGGTCCAAATCTCTTTTGTACTTATGATCTAGCATATATTTACAATTCAACTACTCTAAAGGAAAAGAAGGCCAATAACAAGAACAAAAAGTCTTACATGTGACTACGGTGAAATTCCATGATTTTGTCTTCTAGTGCTTCTTGCTGAGGTATATACTTGTTCTTCGCTAAGTGTTCACGATCTATGGTTTCATCAAAATCCCCAATCTCAGCTATGGAGAATTTTAAGAAAAGTCTATTAAAACATTGTATTAAATCTGAACTATTTGGGCAATCCAAAAGGTGCAGACAGCTGGGAAGAGGGCAGAGAAGCAAACATAGTTTCTTGCAAGCTGTGTCATGGTTTTATGATTCAGATTCCCACTACATTATCTTCCACACATTCCTCCCTTCTCCTCTGCGTTAGTATCTGGTATGTGAGAAGAAGCACAAGGATTCCTCCCATCTACCACAACCAAGTAAGTAGCTGTTGGATGCCAACTGAACAAATGAAGCCATCTCAGAGCTCCCTTGACTTGTGTGCAGGCTAAGGGGAAGGAGGTAACGGGGAGGACAGCACTAATTCAGCAGAACTCATCCATCTCTCTCACACGCATGGTGGTGCCCAGGTGCCTTTACCAGGCCCATGCCCCAGACTGTAATCTTTGGGGGAAAATCTGAAGAGAGATGGTTTGTTTGCTTGTTTGAATGCAAGCATGTATTCCACCTCATGGGGTTATGAAACATTTGTCTTCCTCTAATTTTGCAGCAGTTTGAGACACATTCTGTCTCCCTCCTCTTCAAAGTCGCTCCCATCTGCTGCAGTTATTCAATACCGTGTGTGCAACAGTATGTCACACCCACCTTCCATTTTGCAGCCCATTCAGTGAGATTTCCTTTTTTTGTGGGGGAGGGGAAGGGGCAGGCAATCTATGTGTGGGTGCCAGATTACTATCTTGTTGCCTGCTATTCTTGGAATGCCTCTGAAAATCCTGCTATTAGCTTTTTCATTGAACAGCGTAGCAGCCTCTGCCTGCAAACTTGCTGGAATAATAGCAACAACACTACAACAAAGGCTGCTGCCTTAATAATGTCAGTGAAATTAAAATGCAGCGCCCTCAAATTAAATCCAGTTGCAGTCAGACACGTTGTTGCACAGTTGACCTAGGATGTCACAGACCCAAGCTCAGATCCTTGCCTCATCCTCACCTCAGTTCCACCCATGTGGATGTTCCCTTAATCCAGTTCTGTTTGGTTTAGAAAAAAGAAAGGTTTCAGATGATGTTTAAGACACTGTGGGCAATTTCTGACAAAATTTTGCCTGGGATCAGATGCATCTGCAAATGAGGAGGGGGAACAACAACCTTATGTAGGCAGGAGAGATGAGGACCAAAGCATCTACGAATGACAAAGCAGTAACCTTTCAACCCAAATTGCCTGCAGTCACATGATGACTTTTTATACTTTGGAGGTCAGAGGTAGGAAAGAGTTGATAACTGAGACTGTCTGATTTCCACCCCCTTCCTCATCCCATCTGCTCTGAACCATTCCTTGAGACAGCAGAAATACTACAGAATCTTTGAGAATTCTCCTTTTTAAAATGTCTCTTTTGTCCCCATCTCAGAAACAGCTCCCTTACTCCAGTTTTACTTGCCCCAGCACCACAAATCTTTAGGGTCCATTTTTAACCCTAGCTCAAATGAAAGGCAAGTTTCTCTTCTTTAATGAAGTTTTCAACACCTCAAATGACACGGGCCTTGATTCTTTAAAATGCAGTTCATACCCTGTACATCCTTGTACATGGATGGACTTCTGTACACCTTCTGTAGGGCCTTCTTCAGAGCCAAGAGTACAGAAGACTCTTTATTTCACTTCTACGTGATTTCTACAATGTTCTCTGCATTTGTCAACTGCAAATCCATTACCGAAATTGTCCTCCTGGCTTTCAAGTAACTTCTGAACTTGTTCTCTCTGACCTCATCCTCAACAGCTTTTCCTTCTCTCCTTAGCCCTCCTTCTCCATCTTAAATGCCCTTCTAATAGCATTTAGAAAGAGAGGGAGTTATATTTTGAATAGTCAGCCTCACATATAACTCTTCTTTAAAATCTTCTCATGTCTTTTAGCCAAAGATTGATTTCCACCGACGCTCCCTTCTCTCTTATCTTGCATGTGCATTACACCACGTTGTATTTGTCTGCATTAGCACTTCTGATATGTCTAATGCTTTGTATTTCAGCTCTTTTCCTTTAATCAGTCCATCTTCTTACTTCACACACTCACTCTACTGCATCATTTGCAGTATCAAAGTGTCCTCTCACTTCTAACACTTTCTACAATACTTTTAAGGTATTTTTAAATAGAATGTTTCAAATAGAAATTTTATTCTGTAATATAGATGCTAATTTAAACAGAAACCTATTTGCTGTCATATTATGGTTTCATATAAACAGTCTATAACATTGACATAAGCTTGTATACATAACAGAAGGCCCTCCTGGAATCAGATATCCCCCACAGAAACCGCTCATAGGCACAGCATCAATAAGACATACAATACCTAACCTCCTGCATTCTTAATCTTTCCACTTTGATATCATTACTCTTATCAGCTGTCTAGTTTTATTTTTGTTGCAGACAAATACGCAATATTTTTTTTTTTGCTACTGAATAATAAGCTAGAGAGAAAATAAATACAAAGGACAGCCATGTGTGTAAGATACAGCTATAGACTCTTATCAGAGAAAATTTTCACAGAAAAATGTTCATGAGACACAAGATGGATAAATAAATGAGACAGTTGCAAACTTCTAGCAGGGGTTTCTAGCAAACACTGTTACACAAAAAAGGGAGAGGGGAAAAATCATAAACAGCAAAAAAAAGGTCCAGCTGGCAGTCAGGAGATGGCAAGGGGAAGCAGCACTGCAGGTGCACCGTGACGCACAACATCCCTCTACCCAAAATGGCAGTTCAGATTCTGTGAATACTGTCTCACTTCTGCATGATGAATCTTTCGTCTCTCTCCTTCCTACACAATGGAAAGACTCAGTTTTTCAGTACAGAAGTATCTTACCTTACTCTCCCCATAAGAAGACTACTACTTGATTCCTAAAATCTCAGTTCAGAATCACTCTGCACCTTTAGCTCACAGGTGAAGGGGACAAAGAACTAGAAAAATTTCAAATGCATCACAATCATTTCCAGCAACTGAGGAAAACTGTTTAATCCAACAGTATAATGCATCTCAGCAGCATAAGAGTAATGGTGGTGATTTGCTGGTTTTGCACACTTTGAAATGAATGCTTCTTGCCGGCCTGCATCGGTGTGTTGGGGGAATGGCCAGGTGTATAATGGAGGAATTTTGAAAAAACACTGAATTAAATTTGAGTTTGACTGTGGGGAGAAGGGAAAGGGACAGCCTGTAAAGGTGAAAGGACATCCTGTATTTTATCCTCTTATGCTGTTACTTTAGGAAAACAAGCTAGCTGTTGCACTCTGAGCAGTTCAGACACCAGAGCTGTAGATGGTTCAGCGAAGAACTTAACTGAGTAATCAGTGAGAGATGAGTAAGACATGAAATAGGATCTAAGTAGAGATCATAAGGAAAATAATGCATATAAAGTATAAGAGCTCAACAGAAGATGATCATGAGGCATTACCTTAAATGAAGAGAAATGCATGCATTAGTGTGCCCTCTCCCCAACATCTTTCTTTGGTACACAGACATTTAGTAGGAAAACTCACCCTCCTAGAATGCAGTGTAACAAATGATACTCAGTTTCCCCCAAACGATCAAGACTTTTTTTTCCTGAGATGAAAGGAAGTTAGAACTAGCTTTACCAAGGAAAGAACTACAGTTGGCATGCTGGACACCATAACAGGAAAAACTAAGACACAAAAAGCTCACTAGCCAAGGACTTTTTCCTTTTTTTTTTTTTTTTTACATCTGTGCTGCAAAACCACTCAGTTTTAAAATGATATGAGGAATACAGAATTTCACAGAGGCTGTTGTACAGCTTCTTCTTGCTACTCAGTCACGCTGGCCAATGATGACCATGGCAAACAGAAAACCATGCAATTCCTGCCTTTCCAACAGGAATTGATGAGAAACTACCCTAACACTTAAACAGACTATGACAAAGCATCATGAGATTTACCTGTTCATCACTAAAGAGCTTCTGAACGTCTTTGTTGACTGAAATTTCCATACAACAGCATTTCAGTGGAAATACACAATACTGAATTGTACAGTGACCATTCAAAACGATGGTCTATTATGACCATTATACATGCTACTAAGTGTTTTTTCCTAATGGTATTCTCAAGATGAGTATCCATAAAGTCTTGAAATGGAAAACATATGCTGCCTTTCAAGTGATCTGGAAGCTAAAAGCAGCTTTGATGTGATGAACAAAGTTAATGCATGATTCTACTAAACAGTCTTATTGTGCATACTTTGCAGTTTTTTAAAAAAAAAAAGCAGCTTAAAATCTGTTATTTTTTTCTTTCCTATCAGTTTCCTCTTAGGACTGTGATTTAGTCTGGCATTCTAAGCATGTTTATTTACTACATTCTCTAGACAGCATACAGGTCTCCAGGAATTTGAATGCTCTGCTGACATGATACAAAGTATAATAAAACAGGAATTCAGGAGCAGAATTCAACCTGTTTGCCACTGCCTGCAAAGTTTGCTTTTTAAATGATCCTAGGCAGACTATCAAATGCAGTGCTTTAAAAATGCAAATCCAGTGTCCAGAAGCTCTGCGTTATTTGAAAAAGTAAATTACCTGTATTTGAATGCCATTATACAGAAATACAATAAATTGCCCATATGGCTTAAACCTGTCCCTATGGCAGCTACTAACAGATAACCCAGCAAACCATGTCCAACCAATGTTTATCCTCGTGGAAAGAGGAAATAAAAGTACTTACACTGTACTATGTGTGAGATTAAGAGGGCAGTGCTGGTATCGTTACATGTTAGCCTTCCCTGTGCCAGGTCCTGCTTCACTTGCAAAGCAAATAGGTACCTGCAAAACAAAAGTGAACAAAGAGTTACACAAAGCTAAAGAGGGGAAAGTATTTCAATGCCAACTTCGGGTTTGGCTACATGTTCCTTTCACTTTCTGGAATCTAAAGAAGTGATCTGAATTTCCTAAGTTTAGAGGCTAAATAAAACGTAACAGGTACTGTATTTCAGCCATTAGTCTTACATGGTGGCTGCTTTGCAGAACTGAGATACCCCTCTCTTTGTCTCTTTCCCTCTCTTTGAACCAGAGCAATGAGATCTGGAAGCGATATGACAGCGGAAGCAAATGTGACAGCTATTAAGTGCTCAGCAACCGCGCAGCAAGTGGCACTAGATAATGGAGCTGCTTGTAACTATGAAGAAATGCCAGATAAACCAGTGATGTAGAGTTATCAGTTAGTTCTTGCAGAACACAAGGAGAACTCTAAACTTCCACCTTGGCACTCACCTGGAAATGAGGAGCAAGATCTCGATTAACAACTCTAGCTAGCTCTGATACTGTTGTGGCCCCATGACCTGCACCGCCTGTGCACCAGCCATTTTTAACGCATTCGCTTCCAAACCATCTCAGCCACGTAGGGCAACTCTACATGCGTGCAGAGACATCACAGGTCCACGACATTATTTCAACATTTAAATTTCTTCTAGCTTCAACAGGAATTGAAATTGCTTAGTTCTACTCAGCATCAAATTCTTCCCTAGAAAAAAATGACCCAGCAGTAAGCATTTCTCCTACAGTTGGTATGAAACCTGAACTGGTTAGATACCTTAGCAAGCCTTCCAAAGGCTGCAGCTCCCCTGGAGAACTCCTACTAGGACCTCAACAGTTTTTAATAAGACTAGATTTTAATAGGTTCAGTGAAAAGCTCTCATTTGAACAGTGAGTTTCTGAATGAGGAGATGTAGGTAAATTAAATGAAAAGGGCAAGCTGATTTGAGGAGTATGGAAACATACACAGTACATGAAATAATACAGCAGATCTAAATAATGTCCTTTTGAAAGCTGCAGACATCTGCCTACCCATACAAAATTCAACCTAGTAGAAGAGTATAGTACAAAAGTGTTGTATTCTCTGCTTCTTCAAGTGATGAGGCTGTTCTCTGCAGATATGCTTTCACATCCTACACACTGCTGTGTACATATATTCAAGTTCCCTAGCATACACATTTAAAATCTAACCAAAAAGGTCATTAGGACTCGGAGACACGTCACCAGGAGCAGAAAGATATCACCAAAAATCAATTTACAGTTCACATACTAAGCAACTGATATGCAGAACATCTATTTGGAAACAGAAATGTTTCATTAGTAACATCACATTGTGAGTTTTCATTCATCCCTTTATTGGTTTTACTCAGTCTTTCAAGTAAATAATCCTTCTTCCTACCGCACTTCTCTACTTTTCTCTGTGCAGGCCAGCCAGAGATATCAATAATTTTGTTTTTCCCACTCCATTGCTTTATTACCAAAATAAAACAAGACAGAGATAAACACAGAACAGGTGGACTTGTTCCAGGTCATAAGGACACAAGAGCTCTTTGTAAAAGAGGACTTCATCTTGTGGGAAGATTGAAAATAAAAACTAATAGTAAAAATACTGAATCAGAATGGAAAAATGTAATTAAAAAATAATAATATTGTAGATCAGAAAGAGTTTAAAAGCTTCAGTGAAGAAATACTGCAAGAAAACAATGTTCCTGACCATAAAGGAAGGACATGCTAATGAGGAAGAACCTTAATAGGTCCCTCATATACGTATTTACTCACAGAGAAATATGACTGGTTATGCCAATGCAGTGTGAAATTCAGAGTTTAAATGAAGTTTTTGAAATGCACTGAAAATAAACACACCTTTAAGGTACTCTTTCTGCATATGCGTGTATCTTTCTCTACCTTCTTCTTACTTTTAATTTTATTCCCTCTCCTTTCCATTTCTCCATCTGCAAAGTCACAGTTCCACCTGTGCAAACCTTTGGCATTTGCACTGGCTACAGGAATAGGATCCAATGCTGCTGCAACTTGGCAATGCATGGAAAACAACTCTCTCCCAAACACGGGTGCAGAGTCGCATGTGTCCCTCAGCAGAGAAGCGCCCCAGGGCACCAACACGTGCCCTAGTCAGGTCCCTTCCAACACCACTGCCAAAGGGGCTTGGAGAACACTGTTGCCAAACTGTCTTCTCGTGGGATAAGCAAAGCTCTCCCAGGGCCTCAAATCCAGGGAGGCAAAGGACTCCTGCGCTTTGCAGAACCTCTCAGCACAGACTGCAATATAGAATTTTAGGGCCTATTTTTCAGGTGCATTCAAGGTTGGGGCAAATAACATCACGCTAATCCTAAGAGACAGCCATTGATCCTCACCTAATCATCTCAAATTCCACATTCTTCCCTCTGTCCACCAGAGATTTAATACAAAAAAATAGTCATGCAGCTACTAACCTTGTCAGTTCTTCCTGCAGCTGAGCATGGTCAGGTGGGAAGAATTTTACCACAAACTTTACAACAACGTGCTTCGGTCCTAGGGGAAATGTCAAAGTTAGTGAACATCAGGTAACACACTGGCCAAATTTTATTACGCAGAATGATGTACAAGAGATGATTCATGGAACCTGCTGTGCACGTGTACATGCTAACCTCCTGTCCTTTGTTAGTATTCGGGTTATTTACAGATTGCACAATAAAATTTACACACAATAAAAAAGAACAGTAACTTGGTGGAGGAATACTCTGCCAAAACCAAGTCAGGTTTTAGTAATTCCATCAGTTGATCCAACAAAATATATTATATGTGTCTATTTTCCTTCAGAACAGGAGGGAGCTGTATTCCACCTATTTTATTTATTCCACAAATACACTCTATTTTTCAAGTCCACTAGCAAATTACTATTTCTGTTTTAACAGCAGCACATTTGTTCTGACTCTTACAAGTACAACCCGTGACAAAAGGAGCAATGCATCTCTCTCGAGGTACCAGAGCATACACTCAGACTAATATGACTAGAGAGGCACCTAGGAAAACTTAATCTCAATGGCAAAGCTCAATAAATTAAGAACTTTGCTGATATTTGACAAAGAAACAAAATCACCAAAACCTTTCCTGTTCATTTCTACTCTTCCCAGAGCTGATGGCTATTTACCAATTCCTTTTGGCTCCCGCCACCCACCATAACTTTCCCTGATGCCCCTAGTTCCGCAGCAATGTCCCAGAGAGCTGTAACATATTTGCTAGCTCCTTCCCAGCAATAATGTCTTCCTGTTCTTTTCCTTTTACCCTGATTACTGCTACCTTTCAGCAATGTGTGCTTCCTTTAATCCTTCTTTTACTGCATGCTTTTTTTCTCTACAAAACTCTTTACTCCATTGCCACCACTGCCTCTTCTAGTGACTGACTAAACCTCTGTCTCCTACTGGGTCAGCCCCTTCATATGTTCATGTGACATAATTTCACAGCACACACAATTAATCTTTCAAGGACAGAACAGAAATAAAAAATAATCCAAACAAAATCCAGTGAAGAAATTTGAGAAGATAAAGGTCCCAACTGACAGAGCCCTCATTTATTCAAGAACTCTCAGATTGACAAAATAAATGGCAGCAAGGAAGTACTTACTTCTAATCTGTTTCATAACAGGCTTCAAAAGATCAAGCCACACCTGAAAACAGAAGAAGGTGGTATTATCATCTCTGACCAAACCACCGCTCGCAAAGGAGCATTTTTTATTACACTACTGTCATGGTTTAGCCCCGGCCAGCAACTAAGCACCACACAGCTGCTCGCTCACTCCCCCTACCCCGATGGGATGGGGGAGAGATTCGGAGGAGTAAGAGTGAGAAACACTCCTGGGCTGAGATAAGAACAGTTTAATAATTTAAATAAAGTAAAATAGTAATGATAATAATAACAATATAATAATGGTAATAATAATAATGATATACAAAGCAAGTGATGCACAATGCCATTGCTCACCACCCGCCGACCGATACCCAGACAGTTCCCGAGCAGCGATCGCTGCTCCCTGGCCAACCCCCCCAGTTTCTATACTGAGCATGACGTCATATGGTATGCAATACCCCTTTGGTCAGTTTGGGTCAACTATTCTGGCTGTGCCCCCTCCCAGTTTCTTGTGCACCTGGCAGAGCATGGGAAGCTGGAAAGTCCTTGACTAGCATAAGCAGTACTTAGCAACAACTAAAAACATCAGCGTGTTATCAGCATTCTTCTCCTACTAAATCCAAAACACAGCACTATGCCAGCTACTAGGAAGAAAATTAACTCTATTCCAGCTGAAACCAGGACAACTACTTAGACTTTCATTTACTTATTTATTTTTTCCAGTGTAGTCATCATGCTCTCCCTAATTACATGTAGTGGATTTTCTCCCCAAAACCCTGGAAGATGCTCAGGAAACAGCACTGTTAATGGGCTGTCACCGTGGCACAGCTTTTGAAGCAGTACAGATTCAGAGCGCTGGGAAATAGCGAGGGGATCCCGCCCCCGCCATTTGTCTTGGATACCAACAGTCATGGCACGTTTGGTCAGGAACCATTCATTTTGTGGAAAGAAGAACTGAAACAAGGAGTTCAGAAGAAGACAGCCCTATAGTGTCATTGTGGTCCTCACCTGAATTAAACTTGTGAAAGGCAAGTGAAAGGGGCTGGTGCTTGCCTTTGAGCTGGGAACACTGGGCAAACGGAGGAATGAGAAGGAGGAAACCTCCTGGTTTTGGGCACCCAACGGGAGTCCCACCATGAGGCCTGGGCATAAAGGTGGATCTCCCCCGCTCAGCCCCACGGAGATGAAGGAGTCTCCTCACCACCACCGCCTGGGGCAGGAATGTCCTCGCAGGTCAAGGGCGTGAGGCAGACACAGCGCAGAGCGTGGGCGGGAGGAAGCTTACTTTATAGCTGTGTAACATTTTCTCTTTTCTATAAACCCGGGAAGCTCAAGCCTAGGATTTCTTAATTGGGGGCAGTGTAACTTCTGCATATAGTTTACTTTCATCTGGTTTTTCACAACCCATTTGTCAGGATGGTGTGTGGGTCTTTCCTTCAGCTTTCGAAAGAGAAGCAGTGGGTGGAAATAGAGATTTCAGAGCCTAAACCCCCATTCTGCAGTCTCAGTCAGAAGGGCCGGGGCAAAATATTACGAGAAGTTGCGAGACAATCACGCAGAAGGTAAAAGCCAAATGACTTGCAGGGCCTGGAGAAGTGCAACAGCTCACGGTCCTCAGCTGGTAACTAACTATGCCCAAGACTTGTATTTTGTTATCTCACTAAATTGCACGGAGCCTCCCTTGGAGACATCTGGAATTTGTGGAGGAACATCCTACAACCGTCACAAAGGTTAAAGCCATTGAAAAATGAGTTAACCAAGCCTTCCTCTAGAAAAAGAATATGTATTGAAACGAATACATCTTTGACCTTTAATAATTTTAGATTACGCAGAGACTGAAACATATTCAAAATATCCATTTTAGAAAAATCACCTGAGATGCCAGGCAGGCCTGTACTGCTGCTATAGCTGCTCCAACACTGTTTGCTGTATTCATCATTACTAATGCGAGTGTTTCCAATTAGCAAAGACCTCACACTCCTGCCCTTTCACACCCACATTCTCAATGGAATTCTTTTTATGTTTCTCAGCCTATGAAAATCGTCTTTTTTCAGAAGGGCTACTGAAACTTGGTTATCCAAGAATAGGAACACAGTGTTTACCACACGTTAAACTGGTTTTGACACTTCTTGGCATTTCAGTAACTTAAAACTGTTTTGTTTCAGAAAGTTGGCATGTACATAATCTGCAACAAAGGTCAGGGGCTTTGCCAAGTTTAGTGGGGAAAAAAAAAAATCTTGAATATGAAACAGCCAGTTTACAAGAACATGGGAGTAACGTATTTTACTTGACACCAAAAAAAAAAAAAAATCTCTCTCCCTCCAGAGGGACTTCATGATACAGCATGAGCACACAAGTGCATCATTCCTTTCTCCACTTTCCCAATCATCCTACAAGCAATTTACAACATCCTTGACCAGACTGCTGGATGCTAGAAATGTGTGTATTGAACATGTGTGGGGAGAAATGTGGGGCAAAATGAAGACCTCACTACTATCACCAAACCCAAGCAATCAAAACTTAGGCATCATGCAACTCCCACACTCTATCTAAACACAGCCAATCTGAGACTGGTTTATAAACTGGAAATGAAAAATAATGTGAGGATTCAATTAAGAGTCATGTTTTCAATTTTCTCTGGAACTACAAAGGCTAGATTATTTACTTTTTAAACAAAGTCTGGCATTCCACGATAGTGACCGGATTTCAGCAGCTGGAGAATTGGGGCAGACATCAAGTGTGGTGAAACTCTATGAAACCTCAGGCTTGGCAACAGTGCCTTGTTTCTCCTCATCCCAGCAGGAAGCACAGCCCTCAGACCCTCCATGTTCATTTCCCATGCAGATCTTGTCTGCTACAAGTACGGCACGCTTGAACGTATACAGATGCCAGGCATCTTGACATACAACCGTCAATATGTCAGATATGAGGCCTGGAGCCTTTCACGTGAAACAAACACAGCTGAACTGTGAATATATGACTTTACGCACATATGATTACATCCAAACAAATAGGCTCTAAATATTTATTTTCCCTTTTACATTGCACTCTACATTGGAAAAGTAACTCATTCTCTTCAGATGATATGAATGTGAAATATGCATGTGTGTTTTATTTCTCAGACACACCATTAACTGCAATTTTTTTTTATTTGCACAATGCTTGAGTTCTACATTATGGCCATTACGGAGCTCAGAAAGTTTTAAATCCCACAGGAACACTCACCTCAAATGCATCAGATAAATTTATGTGTAAACATGACTCTCAGAATGCTGCTCCACATTGAAAGAACGATTCATAATCAAATCTCCTGCTTCAGAGTTTCTGTGAGTTGCTTTTAGGCGGTCAAAGGCATTACTTCCACTCAATCTCACCATTCTCGGAGCACAGCTGACTAGATGTGGGCAAGATTTGGGGATCTCCCCCTTTTCCAGAAGCAAAGATTGGAACAACCAGCAGGAACACAGACTGGTGCTCTCAGATACTTGGCTAATTTTTCGTTTTGCAAGAGTAGGGGCCAGGTGAGTTACCACGCTTGATGCATGGAGGTATTTTCCTTCAGGTCAAACTGGCAATAGCCTTAGAGGGGTTTCTCCACCTTCCTCTTCATCAGAGCCCTGGCTCCCTCACTGTGATCGTCTGGACATATTTCCAGCCAGTGAATTCCTGCCATTACGAGGGCCTCAGGCACTGGCAGCACCTCAATCTCTCCTGTGTTCTGCCTCAAGCAAATAAACCATTTTTTCACAAGACTGAAAACTGCTAGTTTACTTCAGGCCTCTGAGCAAAACACAGATGGTCATCTATTTGAAGCTTAATGACCTGTGAAGTAGAGAAGGTTGATCAAATGACCTTCTCTATTTTCTAGAAAACTAAAAAGCAACTGTATATACACAAGACATTAGGATTTGTTTCAGCTTTACATACATACATACGTCAGGAATGTCAGTATGTCATTATTAACATGGACCCTCTGTTGTAATAGTACTGTACAGTTGCACTGTTTTGAAGAGTTATGTTAAGCCCTCAAGTTACCTAAAGCATTAGCCAAGGATATCTGGCAGAAGACAAAACTTTCTAGTAAACTCTGCTTCATGTAAATCCAGGAGCAAACTGTGAAGCAGATCACTTTTAAAGATCGATGTCCTATTTTTAAAATTTCCTCTTCAATTTTAGTTAGCCTAAAACATTCTGATCAATGCTGTTCAGTTTTAGTGTCTGTGTAAGCCTGCACGAAGGCATGACAACAGATTACTGCAGCAGCAGATAAATCCTCTTTTGTTTCTTTTGTTAAGAAATAGTGCTCCTTACAGAAATTTTATATAGATGGACAGAAAATAGATTTTTTTTTTTTTTTCCTAATTGCCCCAGGTCATTTAATTTTGGTCAGCCAGGCTACTGGTGCAGAATTCACTGAACAGTCAAGAAATCCAGTATGCACCAGAATGTACTGGTCAAACAATCCAGATAACCAGCACACATGCCAGTAGGTCACCCAGTAAGTCTAAAGTAAAACAAACTTCAGAAACAAAATCATTAGAGGCTAAGAAGTCATTAGCCTTTGGCTTTCTCTGCTACATGATACTGTTTCCACCCTAGAAGCATTACTGCAATGCCTGAATGTTGCCAGCAGCTGTTCTCAGAGTCCAAAGTGACAGGACCAGGACACCTGCCTGTGCTACACAGCTCCCCAGACAGGACTTTCAACAACTTATTAGGTTTTTTGTTCTTAACTTCTTTTTTATTAACCTCATTTTGTTTTATCTATCCATTTTCTTGCCCCACGATGTTTTTCATGGAACTATGTCACAATCATTGAATCTTCTCTGTCTGCAGACAAAGATTTTACTATTCCTGCACTGCAAATTAAGCAGGACTGCAAAATCAGAGTTGAGACTCTGCAACAGTCCAGCCTTTGGCTTCTCTGCTGCAACTGATAAGGATAAAACGCTTTTCCAACTTGTGCCTGAATTGGCTGCTACTTTCGACACAGATGAAATCTGACAGGAGTAATCAGGTTTTAAAAACATTTCTTCAACTCTGGCAGGCAAGAACATTTTTTAAATAGAGTCTTTTTTTTCTTTTGGAGATTGAGGATTAAACAATACCTTAAGTAAGGAGCAGGAGGAGAGAGTAACAGCATGTACGTAGATGAAAATCAGATGAAAATTAATCCTTTTACATACCATCATCTTTTTATGATCTGGAAACTCAAGGCCAAAATAGTCGCCTTCAACAAGGTTCAGGTGGTTGCAAACAGCATCATGCAGAACTTTTCCTGGAGCTCTTTGCTGTAAGAAGAAAAGAAAGCCTAGGGTTACAAAGATGCTTTTAATTAGTGGCAGAAAAATTACTATGCTAAGAAATTGTCTAGCAAACAACACTGTCAAAACAGTTTACAATATCAGTGGATATTCCAACCATACCCACAGGGCAGTTGACAATAATTACACTGGTTTTAAAGCTACGAAAATTATCATCCATCCCTGGATAGGAGCTCAGAACCCCTCTTTAGTGCATTTTTATTTTTGAGGGAAAAATACCATGAAATAAAAGAGGTAGAAGAGGGGAACTTGGGATATAGTTTTCTTATATCTGCCATGTAAATGTGCAGCATAGTAAGGTGTCAAGTCTCTAGGCTATATTGCTACTGTGAATTTTGGAAAACAGCTATTTCATCCCATGGCCCTTCAAGCCATGTCAGGCGGTGCCACGTACATCTGTGCACAACATACTGAAACCAAAACGTTCACCAACAGACCTGTCATACAAAACACAGGGGTCTGAGGGTTTGCTGGACACCACTTGATACACAACAGGCTCAAGTCCTGGGTTCTGACTTCATATGGGCTTATCCGGAGCCTCCTGCTGTGAGGCACTGAGGCTGGTCAAGGCCCATCTGTGCAACCCTAACAGAGTTGTCAGTAATTCGGAGGAACCAAGCACAAGCGTTTCCTTCCACACGCTGAAAGTCCTCCCTCTATAAAGACCAGATGTTCTATCCCAATATTAGCTCCCAGAGCTGCCGCTTTGCTGATTGTAAGGATTCTTCTCATCAGCACGTCAGTTAAATCCACCTGCAGCAAATACTGTAAATTACAGCTCACCAGCAAGTCTTCAGCAAAAAACACTGTTTCTGTATAAAAAGGCCAATCACTGAAATCAAATATTTTTGTTCCTTGGACAAATGCACCTATTTTAACTCAAGAGGCCCTGAAACAGATTTCCACTCCCTTCGGAACAAACAATAACCCATTAAACTGCACAAACTCCACCATTACAAAAGACCCATCGCACCCCAGACAAATGCCCTTGCACTCAACCTACAGCTTGGCCCTTTCCCTTTCCACCCAGTAAATAATTACTAGAGCAAAATAAAACAGCAGTAACCAAGCGAAGAAAAGAAAACTATTAGAGGCGGGCAGTCCAGCCAACCTGGCTCAAACCTGAACCTGAGCCCAGGTCCTGGCATCTCCAGGCAGTGCCCGTACCAACAACAGGCTGCTTGCAAGAGGGCAGCTGCTCAATCCCACCTCCTCCCAGATATCTGTCACTACGCAGTTTGGTCTCTGTTTCACCGGGATACCAAATCCCCAGGTTTTTTCCACCTAGGGCAATACCTGGTTTCCAGCCACAACCCTAAGTACAAAGCATCTTTCCAAAGGCAATTTATCTAACGTTGTCTAGTATGAATTGTGAAAAGTAAATACCCAGTAGGGAGGCTTACACCAGAGGAATTAAAAGGATGACATTTTTCTAGGGAAGGCAGAGGATATATGTGCCGCTACAGCGGCGCTGTCACCCTGGTGATGCAGGACATGATGACCGAACCCTTCAACGCTGGCCGGTTTTGAAAGTCGGAAGGGAAAAGCCAAGCTCACCTCCCCAGGAACTTGCTGAGCAGGTTTTTGCCCAACATACTCCCAGTGCCTCTAACAGACCTATGCCGCCAGGAAGCAATGTTCACTTAGATTACTTTATTAACTGTTAATGTTAGCTGTAGCAAACATTAGTCTCAGGAACACTGTCAGAAAACAGATCAAGAACGATTGCAGGTAGGAGTACTAATTTTTTTAAGCACTAATCATAACCAACCTCGCAGTAACTAAAGTAATTCATACCAAAATGCCAAATAAGAGGATACAGAGAGGGCAAGGAAAAAAAAAAAGACATCTATTTTTCTAGACAGAGCACTTTTGGTCTGACGTGATGCCATCCAAAATAAATCTCAAGTGCAAATATATTTGAATACACTCACCTCACGTTCTCCAGCTGCATTAAACCGAAAGCATCCCCGATGACCCTTGCCCAGCCTGCCCCAGCCATCGCACCTCATGTGCCAGTTCTAACAGAAAGCTTCCCACATTCTCCACTCCATCTATCGCTGCACGTAGGCACATCCAAACATACATTGTCTCTTAATGAAAGAGCTTCCCAGTAAGTGCATTTTGTTGGAGGCAACAGAATAATATTAAAAAGACATTAGATCGATATTAGATAGATATTAGTTTACTGCTCTGAAAATATACCTACAAATGATTTAGAAACGTCAGGCAAATGGTCCTGCTCCCAGCCTAGTCTCAGGCCACCTCAGTTCGGCTGGGGCCGCTAGCCAGCGGAAGGACATTTAACAGCCACCCTTGCAGCAAGGGCAGAGGATATTGCTTTCATCCATGCGCACAACCAGTAAAATGGAAATGTGCCTGTGCATAGGTATGTGTATGTCTTACTAAAGTACCTGATGGACTCCTGACTGACAAAGACCAAACTTCATCATACCTCCCAGGGAAAAAAGGTATCTCTGGGAGCATGGAGATTTTTGACCAACAGGAAAAACAGGCAGAGAGCCCACCTGCATTACCACACCGCCCAAGGTTAGCTGAGGAAAGCAAGCCTGTCTGATCTCAGACCATGAGTAAAAGCATCTGATTAAAACCTGCTGAGTGTTTTCCTAAAGTCTTTTTTTTTTTTCCTTACAGGCTTTTAGACGATGGAATGGCAGTCTTGCAGCATTTACATCACTTGGCATTTTCTCTGGAGTGTGCCTTGGTAACATGAAATGCTTCTTACTCAAGTATTTGTAAGTAAGATTATTATTCTAAACTCATCTTAGCTTTGATCAGTCTACCTCAAAATAAAATCTGACAGTTTATTCAAGGGAAACACTATGCATATAAAATCTGCTGAGATTTAGAGCCTGATGACCAGAAAGAGAAGTACAACATCCACAAAAGCAGAAACTCTCCGGTCTCACAGAAATGTTGATTCAGTGCAGTTCCATGACATCCCTACTAAAAAATTTAAGCACAATAAATTAAAATCTCAGTCCACTGGGTATGGAAGCAAACCAGGAGTTGCTCAGGTCACAGCAAATATGAGCCGACAGAAGCAGCATTCAGGAATGAGCGCGCCACACCAGTGACATCATCTGTAGCCAACAGTCATGTCTGACTGGAATGTGGTTACCAGGCCTATGGGACAACACAAGATTTCCCCAGAACTTGGAAGACATTTTCCAACCATCAAGTGTGGCCCTGCTGGCACGCCTCAGACAGTGAGCACAAGGCAAGCTTCACCAGCTCCCAGCCCACAGCCCTGCGGCGGCACCACGTCCCACGAGCCACAGCTTGGATGCTTTCCCTGCTCCATGCTGGCACGGGTCTGATCCATAGGGACCCATGAGCCCCCCCAAAACAGCTATGCATGCATGTAAGGTTGCAGGGTGGGGAAAGGCTGCGCTACAGCCTGTGCTATAGGAGGGTCTTTCCTTGCCACAGTGAGAAAGCATGGGCCCATTACATGACCATCACGAACGCCTCATACGCTGGGATGAGGGAAGGCCATCAGTGTGGCCAGATGTGGAGGACGTGGGAAAGGAGAACCAGGAGACCCATCTCCTGCTCTCCCTGAGCATCATCGAATGAGAGTTCGCACCAGGGAAGGAAAAAAACTGACCCGAAGGTGAAGATCGAAGGAGGAGGATGAGGCACACAAGTGGGACATTGACATGGAAGCTGCCACAATGAAGGCTGGTGGCAAGACCATACCTCCAGACCATTTGCTACCACAGATGCCACCCTGTAAGGCAGTGAAGGAAAGGAAACAGGAGGGTACGGTATACCGGTGGAATACAACTCGGGGAAGATCATGTGCGACACCCAGGAGCTGGGACGCAGCTGCAGCGGGTGGCAGTCCCCTGCTCCTGTTTTTGTTGACAGCCAGATTCTTGTATAACCAATGAAGAAATATTGCAGCTCCAATGGGCAATTCTTCATACCCCAAAACAGCCATCTGAGCACACTGGCAATGAACTTTTCCTTAGCTATACAGTTGTGCTCTTACTCTTGACGTCAAGGAGCCCAGACACCTGTGTTACAGGGTTCATTTCAGATGAGGTGAAAACCAGCCACACTGACAGCAGGGAATTACTATTATTCTATTCTTTTGAGGTGGTACTTAGTTACAGCAAAATAACATTATAAATTTATTGCAGTGAAAAGAAGCTCACTGATTTCCAGCTACACATCCTTATTGCTTAATGCATTTTGAACCGGCCTTTCATTTAGCTCTGTGAAATCAAATTTTAAAAGTCACTTTACATTTTCAGAGAACATCAGGACACTAAGTTCTAAATTATGAATAATGTGCATCACCACATTTAGCTGCAAGCTATGAAGGTACCCAGTCAAAGTAGCCCTGCTTTACGCATTGTGCAGTCAACATTTGCTGTCTGCTCATTATTTCGGTCCTACTCAATTCACCCTCCCTCTATTCCCACCAAAATCCTAAACAGTACGTTGCTTATGATCTTCCAGTGGTGAATATTTTAATAGGTTCAACAATTCTTTCATGTTCTAGCAATTGCCAATCATTAAAAAAAAATCTCCCTCTACTTACTTGTTTAGACCATTCTTTGGCACAGACTGCAATACAGATTTTTTTAAAAAAAGCAAGTGCATAGCAGTATCTGGAAGATATCCAGGACTTTAAAAGAAGTGGGTTTGGACACATTCCCCCAACCCTCAGTTAATTTAGCAATTATTTCACTAACCATCTATCAAAAAAACAATGTGTGTATTTAGGATCAAATAGTGATTTTACCATTTTTTATCTGTCTAGCCAACTAATCTCAGATCCCAGATTGAACAAATCTTCAATTGAAAGGTTTTTGTTCGTTTGTTTTTACATTAATGAGCAGTAATACCAGATTAAAAAAAACCAAACAAACACTTTCTTTGGAACATCTGAAAAATATATGTCCCATCAATGTTTTGATCAAAGTAAGGGATAGCTTCATATGGCAGCACAGACTATTCTGCTTTCCTTCTTCCTCAAAACTGCTGCAAATGGATCAGAAAAAAGTTTGGGGTTTGTTTTTTTTTTAATTACACTTGCTTGTGCGTTAGTAACAGCTGATAAGGAGAGAAAATAACTCTCTTACATTAATCTAAAAGAAAAAGGTACATTCATCATTCACACCTGCCACAATATAAAGGCAGACATTTCTTCCACTAATGCCTTGTTCCTGTCACATTTTGAGTGCTCAAAAATGGAATGTGACAATTTGGTCAAGCTAAATATTTTACAGATACTTAAATATTATATTGTACGAATTTTAAATCAAATACCAAGTTTAAAACTGTGTTTGTTCTTTGGCGGGAAATCACCCTGAAAACCCCTTGTACTTCAGACCAGTCTGATTCCCAAATTATTTTTATACTCCAGTTTAACAAATGCATTGAAATGGTAGTGAAAACTTCACCCACTACTTTCATGACTATTTCTGAAGTCATATACAGTCATGGTACTAAAAAGAACAAATCCACATCCTTAAGAGCATGAATTTTCTCAGTTATTCAAAGCTGTTAAAAATTATGTATGTATCTACAGCTCTGAAAGGGGAAAAAAAAAACCAAACCCAAACCAACAAGTGTTCATGATAAGCAAATAATATAAAAATAACCTCAAAGATGAGATTGAGCAACAGGGTTCTTCAACAAATAACCCTGCCAGAAATTTATACTTCAAAGGAGGCTTGAAAACTACTCACAGGAGAACAATGCTGTCAGCATCCGAAGACAAATTTCATATTTTAAACATTTCTGGCGTCAAATGAAGTGCACAATTCGTATTTAGCAAAAGTCTATTGCTCGAAGGGTAGGATTAAAAGCAATCAGCACTGGTCTGAGTGTTGTTGCTCTGGACCTAACACTGCCAAGACACTTGGAGATTCTCTGCCCTTTTTCTCCTCTCCTCCCTTTCAAAGTGTAGGTGTTAATCCTATAGGAAGGATTAGAGGGCTATAAAAATAGCTTTAGACCATAAAGATAGCTCTTACACTTGGGTTTTTATTTCGCTGTTCAGCTTAGGCTGGGTAGTTAGGAAGTGTTGGAAGAAGCGTGATTCGTCACCCCTACATACCAGGTCCAAGCAAAGAGGAGAAGTGGCACCTTTACGCACAGCAGCCACATACTCCCACCACTACTTCCAAGTATGCAGAACCCCACTCTGTACCTACAGCCACCCGGTATCCACCCCATTTGGAGGCAGGGTGTAGAAGAGGCCAATTTCCATGATAACCTAAAGGCACCTCATTCCTTTTAAGGTATTTTCCATTTGAATGTAGTTGAAGGCTCCACTCCTGGCACGTATCCCACATGCTTTTGCACAGACTGTGCACATACCATCAAAGGCAGGATCAAGGCCAAATGCAGTAACAGAATAAGTCTCTTATACTGCCTTAAAAACAGGCAATTGATCATCTGCTGTGTGCGTACAATAAGACTATTTAGTGTTCCTTTCTTTCAAGATTTTAGTGGACTGCTTTCCCACTTTACACTCACCACATAAGCTGTATTCCCTTTAATGCCAGCGCTTGCATTCCATAGTCTCTGATGTACAGGTTTACCCTTCAGTCAATTTTTCTGGTGCTGGTGTATTTTTTAAACAGTGTGATTGTAATATACGGTGCTTTTTACTTCAGGTGTGTTTTACTCCAAATACCTGCCCTCAAAAAACACGGTAGTAGCAAAGTTACACTTCTCCCCTCCATCTATCAGCTACAACAAACACGACGACATCAAAAGCAGCTATTTTAGGTATGGGATTGCTAACCAAAAATCAACACAGCAAACAACTATCAAGGCAAAAAGACAAAGAGAAGGATTTTAACAACCATCTAATTTGCTTGCATTTCTAGCACCTTCTCCGAAAGAAACTTGCAATTTTCTACATTTGAACATACCCAGATTTGTTATTGTAACCATGCTCATGGATTTCTGATCACGACAAACTGGTTTATGTCAAAATATTTTCTAAAATAGCCA